GGTATGAGGAAGTTGTTGGAGTGTGTCAGGCAAACAGACAACTCCAGTCTTCTGTGATCTCAAAATGCCTGTACTATCCTAACATTTCTTGATCCCTGTCATTTGTCTCAACAGATGGCTGCCTATTTTGGGTATGCTGTGGCTGCCATGGATATCAACGGTGATGGGTGAGTATTGGGGAGGGGCTGCTTAGTCAACAGTAAGCTTACAGTGGAGTGGCAGCAGCTCTTCCCAGCTCCCGAGGAAATTAGATGTGATAATAGATTTAAGTTTGGGTAAGGTCTTGATGCACACCAGTAGTGGGTTCCTACCGGTTCAGACCAGTTCGGCCGAATAGGTAGGGGTTTGGCGGCCTGAGACGCTGGAACCAGCAGCAACTCAGGCCTGCCATGCCCCCAAACTGGTTCTCTGGGTGGGGCCTATGGCGCCGCCATCTTGTTTTTCACTTCTGAACATGTGCAGAACAATTTTTATTGCGCTGCGCGTGCACACAGCTAACTGGCAGTAGTGCCCGCCCTGATGCACACCATACAGAAATTGTCTGGGAAGTGAAATGTCAATCTGCAGAGAAGACTGAATTATGGAGAGAGAAGCAGTCAGGGCATGATGGAGAAGAGACTCTGGTGGATCCCATATTGGCTGAGGATTCTGGAAGAGCTGAGAAAACCTAATCTAGATCCCGTTTCCCTCCCTATTTCGGGCAACTCTGCAATGTTCTCTGGGTCCCAGCCCTCTGTGTGATTTATCTCCCTGAGCTTAGAGTTGATTGCTTCATCTCTCCCCTCTCTCCTGCCATGCAGGCTGGATGACTTGCTGATCGGTGCCCCCTTGTTTATGGAAAAAACGGAAGGTGGCCGTGTTCAGGAGGTGGGCAGGGTCTATATCTACCAGCAAAAGACATACGGCATGGAGCCCGGTGCCCCAGCTGTGCTGACCGGTCACCAAGAGTTTGGCCGCTTTGGCAGCGCTATAGCCTCATTGGGAGACCTCAACCAGGATGGATACAATGGTATGAAAGTTGGATCGGAGGGGCATGGCATGGGGAAAGGAACAGGAGTTTCTCCAGATTTGCCTCCTTGACCAAGATGAATGTATGTTTGTTTGTTTTCACACCGTATGTATGTTTTCACGCAGAGAAAGGAGAAGGGAATATCCAGCATTTGCAAACAAAAGATTTCCATTACTAGGGTTCTGATTTGTTACTAAATGCTTTCCTTTCCTCAGAGTTCAGGGAGCAACTCTTTAATTCTCACCTTATCTTATTCCACAATCAAACAAGAAACCGATGCAAGATCTATGTTCCAATTAAAGGGATACTCATAATTGAGATGGAGGCATTTTATTTTGGTGTAGGATAGGAGATGGGAATCTAGGGATTTTCCATCATCCTTGAACATTGTTGCTATTTCCAGTGGCTAATGGGTGTTGGAAACCCATCATTATCCAGAGAGTTATGGGTTCCTCTCCCTTGGTGTATGCCTTAAAAATGAAAGCCCATTTCAGTCGTAGTCCCACTGAGTCAAAGGTTATCTATATGCTTTTCCTGTTCTGACTATGCCTGCTCATTGGAAGGAGGCAGCTGAGAGCTAATTTATCTGGCAACTTTGCTTTATTTGCATGGAGGATGACTAAATCCGTCGCGTTCAATGCAGAGACACAACAAAACTATCTAATCTCTGGCAGAGACATCTGGAGAAAGGCAGGCTTAACTGCCAGGAGAGACAGCAAGCAACTTTCTCTGCGGACATTTTCAAAACAGACTGTAGCTTGTGTCTTGCAGATAAAAAAATTCCCAGATGTTATTCTTTGCCTTTTCTGCCTAAAGGAATCTTAAATAGCAGGATATCCACCTGAAATTTTGCCAGTTGGAAAAGCCATTGTGGGCTAGAGGGAGCAATGGTTTGACTTGGATGAAACCATTTATTTATGTTTTATTGCAGGGGGGGCAGGGATAACCCTAGCGATAAGAACATATGGTTTGCAGGCAAAAAATCCTAAATAAGTCCCTGGTATCTTGCTGGCCAAAGTCTGAGAATGTAGTCTCAACGCCAGTCAGAAGATGTTGAGAAAAAATCTAGGCTTCTAGTTGGATTTTTGGAAGCTTTAATTCCTTTCATTCATCACATGGATGCCCTCTAGCTACACATTCTATTAAAGGTAACAGGTAAGGGTTACCCTTGCACATATGTGCTAGTCGTTTCCAACTCTAGGGGGCGGTGCTCATCTCTGTTTCAAACCTTAAGAGCCAACGCTGTCCGAAGACGTCTTTGTGGACATGTGGCCGGCATGACTAAATGCTGAAGGTGCACGGAACGCCAAAGGTGGTTCCTATTTTTCTACTTGCATTTTTATATGCTTTCAAACTGCTAGGTTGGCAGAAGCTGGGACAAGTAACGGGAGTTCACTCCGTTACACAGTGCTAGGGATTCGAACTGCCGACCTTTCTGATCGACAAGCGTCTCAGCGTCTTAGCCACTGAGCCACCGCATCAGTGGCTATTGCATCAGCAAAAAAAAAAAAAGTTTTCAGAGTCATGGCCAGCTTTCATAGGAGGAACTTGGATAACCTTGATTGTTCGGCTGATGA